TGTTTTAACTTCGTCCTCAACATGGAAAGCGCGTGCGTCCAATCCTAACAGCGTGTAAAATTGCTATAGCAACTATCTGCAAGTCAGAGGAAACTGGATCTGAATATACACTCTTGATTTCCGTTTCGTCGTCTCTAAGAGTAATTTGATCGGAATATGGGTCTGTTCTTTTCGCAATTCCAAAAAGAGTTTGCTGTCGCCCTCCATCCCAGCGTGGTCACCCCCGTGCCCCCCCCCCCGCTGTAAGCAACTCAACTGCCGCGCTGCAACGCGCTAAGAATTGTTCTAGCTAAAAGGAGAATTGTCGTAGTCAGAATAAAACCTGTACATGTACTCAAAAGTCTCCTGCTATCTACATTTTCAAAATTTTCTGGGGAAGGACGCCCATATATACTCCCGCCTGTTCTTTACCCCCCCCCCTTGGAATCCTGGATCCGCCACTGAACAGTTACAGATCTTGTAAGCAGAAAACAACGAGAAAAAATGCCGCCTTTTTGCATGGCACCCAAAACAAAGATTGCAGACCTGAGAGGTGGGGGAGCGTAGGGTGTGGAGAGGGAGGCGGAGGAACCATTAAAATATTAAGTCATCCACTATTTTGCGCAGTTCGCTGTTTTTGGCCCCCCTGGCTACGTCACAGAGAAAATCACAACATTTCGTAAATAATCATCGACACATCGATCGATTACAAGATCGAATGCTACGCTAGTGACATTGTTAAAACCTTCCCGGTAGCTGTCAATGAGTATCCTAACATTTCGTAAAGAACCATCGAATGGCGATGCAGTAAGCCATTACGTCATCTGCCGAAAACAGCTGTGCCACCAAGCGGAGCCGCCGAAGAGCACTTGAGATAAAAAGAAGAGCCGAGTCTAAAAATCTAAAAAGATCTGATTACAGTAAAAACCCGCGAATGAGAACCTAGTTTTTAAGAACCTGTTAGGTTAAAATTTGCCCGTTATACCCCCTCTATACAAGAACCTGTTTAGCCTAAAATTTGAAACAGGTTCGTATTTTCTAAAATCTATATAAAAAGATGTGTACACTTGGGCGAATAAGATAGATCAACATTTTTGATCCTTTTTTGCCTTATCACTCTAATTTAATACACTGTAAATGCCAATGTTGAAAATCAAATAGAATTGTTATTGTTGCAATTACACATAAATACTGTATATATATATATATTGTTTATATCTCCATGGCTACACATCAGCTTATGGAAGAGTCTGTATAGAATGATCAACATTCGAACCAGGGGAACCATACCGTATGAAAAACATTTGGGAATTTTCTTTAGAAAATAAGAACCTATTTAAGAACCTCAATACCCTCAATTTGTGCTCAGTACCATTTATGTAAGAACCTGTTTAGGCTAACTTGGGAAATGGCAGTTTAAAAGTGTAATGGTGGACGTTTGTTTTATTTTTGGTAAGAACTGCAGAGTACGTTAGATACTGAATGTGCTGGATCACATTTCCCTACCTCTCTTTCGTGTATATACTAGATTTTTATTACACATTGGTTACGCGTCCGGTCATCCATTACAAAGCTCACCACAGACTCCCAAATCCACGTCACGATTAGGCCACGCCCTCTTTCAAATCGTTAATTTTACTGGATTTACTATTGCTTCAAAAGTTACAAAAACACATTTGTTTGATAAAATACCTAAAGGTAAGTAAAATTATGGTAAAAACTTTCTTTTCTTTTTTTTTACTGAAAAAATATGGTTGGGTACACATAAGAAATATATGACCGGACGCGTAACCTGGGCGCAGGCGTCCGGTAACCGGACGCGTAGCCACGGCCTTTTTAAATTATCTATGCTTTTTATTATCAATTGAAACTAAATCCTAACTGGGTAATAAGAAAAACATCAATAACAAGATACCGGTTTGATTAAAAATAGAACGGGGATATTTATGATTCACTGTTGTGATGAGTTAAAGTGATTACGTCACCGTAAATAGTAAAAGTGAAAAAAAAACATTTCCACTTTAAACAAAAATGTAAGTATATAGGCCTAATTCTGTTCATTTTTCATGGTTAAATTGCTGCATTATACTTCATATTTTACTATATTGTTCGATGTAAACATACACTCGTGACTCATACATAGCCAATAGCAAGCAATTAATGTCAGGATCATAATATCAAATCGTCCAGGGTTTTTGGATTTTTAACTAGTTGAGGAACAATCTTATCAGGTAAAAATTTGACGATGCATTTAGTCCCGTTAGTAGGCCCCCTACTTACTTTTAATGTAAAAAAATGGCAACAACATTTTTAAACATATACACCAGAAAATTCGTGACGTAGTCAATTTAAAATTGCAAGCCATTCCAAACTAATTTAGTTCAACAGAACACTCGGTGTCTATATTGAATTGCTTATAAATAATTTAGCTAAGCTGTATTATTAGAAAAGTATAGTTGAGTCATAAATCCTGCATGCTAATGGCATGGTTTGTTGCAGAGATTTAAGGTATACTACATTGCTATTGTTTTCGTGGGTCATTTTGGAAGTGTGTATTATTTTGAAGGAAATCCTTATTCTGCATTGCATTTTAATGACAATTATTTTCATGAAGAACATTCTAGAGTATACCTTTTAAATCCTTGTCTGAAAGTGAGTTTTATGTTTCACCTTAGGTGAACTGCCTGAACTATTTGTCAACGTTATTTGTGGTAATTTCTGTACGATAACTTTTAGTATTGAGTGTTATCACGTAATACCTAACTATTATCTTACCTAATAAATCAATATTAGTTGACTTGTTATTAAATACTTAATTGCAAGTTATCCTGTTAGTTACACCACATGCACACTAACACGCACACGCACACGCACACGCACGCACGCATACACACACACACACATAAACACACACACACATACACGCGCGCGCGCACACACACGCACACGCGCGCGCACACACGCACACGCTCACACACACATAGTGACACACATACACACACACACACACACGCACACGCACCCGCACACACACGCACGCACACACACACACGCACGCACACACGCACGCACACAACACACACACACACTAAAAATCTAATGCCGTGTATAGTCTGATGTCACGTTTCTTGTAAAGACCTAATGTAGGTTTTGCAGTGTGCATCATTCTAGGATCTATTTAAATCTTATTTAGACACTATATAGACAGTATGTGTTGCCGCAAATAACACTGCTCGGTTAGAACCCGCTTTGGTTGGAACATGCCCACCCACCGGTATACATATGAGGGTATAAGGTAGTGTATGCGGTAGATATCTATTATGGGGGGTGGGGGGAACAGGGGGGTACATTCCCACTTTCCCAGCAAAAAACACCCCATATCCCAGTTCCCAGTAAAATAAAATCTCAATTCCCAGAAAATTATGTAGACATGTTTCAGGAAATTCAGTAGTTTAGGTTTTGAAACACTACATAAATACTAATATTTACATACTATTATTTATCTGGGCATAATTAATGAAAAAAATTAAATAAATATTATCGCATAAATTGAAATCCCGACGAATTGACACAATTTTCCCAGATCCCAGACAATTTTAGAGGGTCTCTCCCACGTCCCGATGGACTTCTGTTCCCGAATCACGGAAAATTTATCTGACATTCCCCAGTTCCCAGGTAATTAAAATGGCCAATCCCACGTCCCGAAAATACCCGTCCCCCCCCTCTATTATTTATAGTCATATTATTTTATATCTATGATATCTATGGACTGCATAGCGTACGCATAGTGCCCTGATGTCACGCTGCGGTGATGTTCATAACAATAGCTCATAAACACGGTTTATTATGTCACAAATATAGGTGAATGGTACTTACGCTAAGGACGTCGAGCAATGGAGCAGCATAGTTTAATGTTAGGTTTAGGGTTTATGATATGCTCGTGCTCATATTGACCTGGCTACCAACAAAAACTTTAAAACATGCATCCCCGACACCACCCAGCGAATGTCAGGTACAACTGCACCACCACTACGTCTCACAGTGCAGAAATGTACGCCGACACCGCGCCAACCATCCATGCATGCCTCATACCGCCCACGTATGTAGCAGGGTATGCAACAGAGTAAAAAAGTACCTTCGTTCATCACCTACCTTTCGATACAGTGACGGGCTTCGTATAATTCACTGCCGCGTATCGTGAGAATAATGCGAGAACGGATGAGCCCGAGTACAGAGACCAGTGGCAGATCCCAGATTTTGAAAACCGGCATGACTTGTGAGCGCATAACGTAGATTTGGAGGTGGGGCCAGCATCTGTGGCACGTTTAATTACATTTACATTTACAGGTATTATATTTTAATCATATCAAGTAATTTTTAAGAAAATACTTTTCTCTCTCATGGCGTAATTGAAAATAATTACAGCGTATTGTTATAGTATAATATTTATCTTGTATTATACTATTGTACCTCCGTTTTACTTTAATGGGCGAGATAAAAGAGATCAGGGTCGTACGTATAGCCTCTGAGGGGCGAGGGGACAGCTGCCCCTAAAGTTTGGAGCAACATAAAAAACAATCTTGGGTAATTATTGTAAGTAACTCAAAAAATAAATGTAATGAATAAAGAAACAAAATCACAATTTACAAAAACAAATACAAACTACAAGTGCACACTTATCCATTCAGTCTACAATATCTTACATGTGATTTTACCGTCTAACCGTCATTACACAATCTGACAACGTAAGTGTGTTAGCGCACGCGTAATATATCTCACCAGAGGAGTTATATTTTGTATTGAATATGAATTTAATATGATTATGGAGTATCTCAGCATAGATTTCAGCATTGATTTAATTAAGTATTATCAGTAGACCTGTGTTAATAGATAGGAGAGCGCCCTAGCCTGAAGGGTGCAAAATGCATACTTCACCCCTTTGCGTACTTCCCCATTACCTTCATTGTCACTCGCTCAGCCTCCTTCTTCTTCTACCGCCCACAGCTGTCTTCCCGGCCTACCGCCTTTCCTCAGTCTACAACCCCTTACTCCCTCACCAAGCAATATTATGCAGTTTTCTTCAGTACGTACTGCACGCCTGAAAACGTGCTCGCGCATGCGCAATATCTCCCGAGAGAAATATTATTTTGCAAAAATCATGCATTTAATATGCAGAGGTATTCTAGCATCGATTCATATGATAAAATCTCATCAGTAGACCGCTCTAATAAATAGGAGTTAGGGTTAAGTTAGTCCCGTTAGTTCTTACTTTTAATGTAAAAAAATGGCAACAAAAATTTTACAAATTTTACCATCGAAAATTCGTGACGTAGTCAATTTAATAACAAGTCGACTAATATTGATTTATTAGGTAAGATAATACAGTAGTTAGGTATTACGTGATAACACTCAATACTAAAATTTAGCGTACAGAAATTACCACAAATAACGTTGGTCGTAAACTACTGGGTTTGAAAACTAGCACGATACAATTATACACACATGCACAGGCAATTTAAAATGGTCTCAAATAGTTCAGGCAGTTCACCCAAGGTGAAACATAAAACTCACTTTCAGACGAGGATTTAAAAAAGTATACCCTAGAATATTCTTCACAAAAAGTCACAAAAATACAAAAATACAAAAATACAATGGAGAATAAAGATATCCTTCAAAATAATACACACTACTACGACATAAAACAGTAGCAATGTAGTATACCTTAAATCTCTGCAACAAACCATGCCATTAGCATGCAGGATTTAGGACTTATATATACTTTTCTAATAATACAGCTTAGCTAAATTATTTATAAGCAATTAAATATAGATACTGAGTGTTCTGTTGAACTAAATTAGTTTGGAATGGCTTGCAATTTAAACACCTCACAACAGTGAATCATAAATATCCCCGTTCTATTTTTAATCAAACCGGTATTGTTATTGATGCTTTTCTTATTACCCAAGTATGATTTGGTTTCAGTCTTCAGATGATAATAAAAATCTAGTGTATACATTTTATGTAGGAAAAAGTGATCCGGCACATCCAGTATCTAACGTGCTCTGCAGTTCATACCAAAAATGAAACAAACGTCCACCATTACACTTTTAAACAGCCATTTCCATTTGGATTTTACGATGGGGCTTGTATCCGACTAGCTCCAAATCTTCCATCGTGAAGTCGTCAATGTTTTCGACCTTCCTCTTGAAGTACAACTTTGGAAATTCGCGCGGCTCTCTCGTCAGCTGCTCCTTGAGAGGATCTATGTGGTTTACGTAGACGTGCGCGTCGCCCATCGTGTGCACGAAATCCCCCGGTCTCAGGCCTGTCACGTGCGCTACCATGTACGTTAGAAGCGCGTAGCTGGCGATGTTGAAAGGCACGCCCAAACCTATGTCTGCAGATCGCTGATAAAGCTGGCAGGACAGCTCCCCGTTGCATACGTAAAATTGAACAAACGCGTGGCATGGCGGCAGCGCCATCTTTGGGAGATCAGGTGGGTTCCACGCGCTCATAATGATTCTCCGGTCGTCGGGATTGGTCTTAATCGTGTGAATGACCTTGGCGAGCTGGTCAACGCCCTGGCCGGAGTAATCCGCGTACATATCCTTGTACTCGGCACCAAAGTGACGCCACTGAAAGCCATAGACCGGCCCGAGATCACCCTCGACGCGATGCTGCAGGTTCCGGGTGTCAAGGAACTCGCGCGAGCAATTGGCATCCCAGATGTGGACGCCCTTCTCGGACAGCTCTTTTCCGTTTGTGCTGCCGCGGATGAACCAGAGTAGTTCCTCGGCGACGCCGCGGAAGAAGACTCGCTTTGTCGTCAGCAGTGGAAAAATGTCATTCCTCAGATTGTATCTCGACTGCGTTCCAAACATGGATAACGTTCCCGTGCCAGTACGATCGCATTTCTTCTGGCCGTGTTCGATAATGTGTCTTATCATGTCCAGATACTGATGTTCATCAGAATGCTTCATTACATCGTTTCCACTCATACTCTTGGTGCGAACACTGTCATTAGGGATATTGTTTGAAGTTATCTCACGTAGCACTTCGGAACCAACCATCTTAACCTATAATCGATATGGAAAATGTAACATACAATTAATACAATCAAATGATCGGTAAATTATCCATAACCCACCACGTTGGTAGGTACAGACTAAATACTGTAAGTTGTAACTATAATTTTTTTATAGGTACATAGTAACATTTTTTTCGACACTTCCTGTTAACTCACATCATGTTTATCGGTTGAAATGAACAAAGAACACCCTCACCAGTACCCCTGTCGATTTTAAAGGGGCTACCCATACATTTACGAAAATGACATAGGTTTCCAATATGGCTATACGCACGGCGGCCGTGTGGCCCGACCCAATATGGCTATACGCACGGCGGCCGTGTGGCCC